GTGGAACTACGGCACGATAGACACCTGGTTGTAGAACTACGGCACGGTAGACACCTAGTTGTGGAACTACGGCACGGTAGACACTTGGTCGTAGAACTACGGCACGGTAGACACCTAGTTGTGGAACTACGGCACGGTAGACACCTGGTTATAGAACTATGGCACGGTAGACACCTGGTTGTAGAACTACGGTACGGTAGACACCTGGTTATAGAACTATGGCACGGTAGACACCTAGTTGTGGAACTACAGTACCATAGACACCTAGTTGTGGAACTACAGTACCATAGACACCTAGTTGTAGAACTACGGCACGGTAGACACCTAGTTGTGGAACTACAGTACCATAGACACCTGGTTGTATAACTACGGGACGGTAAACACCTGGTTGTAGAAGTACGGTACGGTAGACACCTGGTTATAGAACTATGGCACGGTAGAAACCTGGTTGTAGAACTACGGTACCATAGACACCTGGTTGTAGAACTACGATACCATAGACTCCTGGTTGTAGAACTACGGCACGGTAGACACCTGGTTGTAGAACTACGGTACCGTAGACACCTGGTTGTAGAACTACGGTACCGTAGACACCTGGTTGTAGAACTACGGCACGGTAGACACCTGGTTGTAGAACTACGGTACCGTAGACACCTGGTTGTAGAACTACGGTACGGTAGACACCTAGTTGTGGAACTACGGTACCGTAGACACCTAGTTGTGGAACTACAGTACCATAGACACCTGGTTGTAGAACTACGGTACCATAGACACCTGGTTGTAGAACTACGGTACGGTAGACACCTGGTTATAGAACTATGGCACGGTAGACACCTAGTTATAAAACTACGGTACCATAGACACCTGGTTGTAGAACTACGGGGCGGTAAACATCTGGTTGTAGAACTACGGCACGGTAGACACCTGGTTATGGAACTACGGTACCGTAGACACCTGGTTGTAGAACTACGGCACGGTAGACACCTGGATGTAGAACTACGGTACCGTAGACACTTGGTTGTAGAACTACGGCACGGTAGACACCTAGTTATAAAACTACGGTATTATATACACCTGGTT